TAATAACCATTAATGTCAAAAAAAGTCCTTCTAACCTGCAGGTTAGAAAACACTTTAAATAATTTGATAGGCATTCACGTAGGTCCACATAAAAACCTTTTCCTATAAACAAAATTAATTAATACTATATTTATTTTTGTTAGAAATCAAGGTAATTAGTCACAACTACTCAATGAATGATTTATAATAAAACCTATATTATATCTCATTTATGTTATAATTATAAAATTAAGAGGTTATTTGGTATAATGATTTCATTTAATTAAATGAATATAAGTATTTAAATTATTAATAACAGCAATTATTAATTATCAAATTAAACTAAATAAAACCATTAATTACTAATTTCAAATCGTTATACCAATTAACCCTCAACTTCCTTATATTTTTAATGTGAATGTGAAGATTTTTGCATTCTATTATTTTTAAAGCACACCTCTTCTTTTTAGTAACAGAAGCATATTTCTCTAGTTAATTGGTAATAAAATCATATTTTTTTAGAAAATAATTATTAACAACGTTTTTTATTATAAAATCTTACAACACCATGTAGCTTAATTCTTGTAGAATCTTTTAAATTGGATGAAGCACACATGTATTTACACATTTAATATTAGGGAATGATTATTCTCTTAATATTATATAGATATTATAAAAAAAAATTCTTTATGTTTCATTTTTAGAGAATATTAAAGATGATGGTTCAAAAGGTTTAGATTCTATGAATAGATTTTATTATTAGATAAAATTGATATTAATATTTGAGAATAATGTATATCAGTCCTAATTTTTAAAAATATTAGAATCTCAATCTAAAAAACTATCATTTTATTTTATTAAAACTTAATTTAAAATTTAAAAATTTTTTTTATTAAATATTATTATCTGCATTTAAAACTAAAAATGTAATTCAAAATTTAGAAATTTACCTCATTAAATTAAACAATATTATTTAAAGTTGGAATTACAATTTTTTTAGAACTAATACTAATATGTATTATTCTCTTTCTTGTTCATCTCAAAATAACTGCAATTATTTGACTTTGAGTTTATTTTAAATTAATTATCATTTTTTCATTTTTTAGGTTAGATAACTATTTTCTTCCATACTTGAACCTGATTATAATCTATTTATTTTAATTAATTATCCTATTACATAAAATCTTATTTTATCTTTTAACTTTTTTTTAAGGGTAATATAGATTAATATATAAATCATTCTTAAATTCTTAATTTTTTTTTAAATGAAAAAAATTATTATTTTGAAATAGAGGGAATATCATTTTTAAAGCATATTAAATTATATAAAAAATATCTCAATTCTCGAGTGATTTAAAATATAACTTAAAATTTTAAATTAAAAATCTTAAATTTTAATTCTTGAAGTGGAAAGGTATATAGCAAGTAAAGTGCTACTGGTTTGCCTAATATTTATAAGCCCAATCAATCATATGATTTATAAACATGTGTATGGAAAAAGTATTCACCCACCTTTTTTCTTAAAAATTAGTTAATTTCAATTGAAAAGGCTAAAATTTTATATATATATATATATTATATAGTGTATATATATATGTATGTATATATTAAAAAAATATTCTTTTTATCTCGAAATAA